CCGATTACTAACTGGGGGGATGAGGCTGGACCGGAACCCGAGGTAACACCCACAGAATTTTACTTAGATGTGGCAAATAAACACAACCACAAATGGTGGGAACATACAATAAATTTACATACACCCAGCCCAAAGGCTGAGGCCCTTGTGCTGCACAGCACGGCGCCTCCTGTTGGATGAAGGTAGAAAGTGTAGTAATTTACCTACTGGCGGGCACAACTAAGCTGCCACACCTTACCCGTTATTACCCTAAAAGAGCAGGAATCAGTGTATGGGTGTACGGTATGGGCTAGCCTGCGGTGCAGCACAACAGCTTACAATCTTACACAAATCTACAGTATTCTCCCTCCCATAACTGGTCCTGTAGCACGTGCCTGAGTATTCCTTCTGAGCAAAACACCAGTCTGGCTTGAGTTTGTAGGATTTTATCAGCTCTCCAATGTGAAATGTCACTTTAAGTTGCAGAGTCCTTCCAATAATCGTTAACAACACTTGTGGCCTGACACAAACAGAGACCCTAACTAACTAACTATAGGCCTGGACTCAGTCTCAAGGTGCCAACACTGAAATGAGTTGTGTGCATGATCTTACCAACCCGGGTCTGCTTTGCATCCACTGGTCACTCTGAACAGAACAAATGTCTCTTTAACAAGCTTGCGATATTGCAGTATATGCTGCGTTGTTCCTCTGCTCTCATCAGCCTTACAGGCAGCAATCTTCCTTTCTCTGAACAGGATCAGGGTCTTGGACACGATCGATCAGCTTCACTTAGCTTCAGCTCTGGTTACCGAAGGAAGCTCCCACACCTGGATGTCATTGGTTTCTCAGCTCACATGGCCCCTTCATTCAGCATCTTTCAAAACATGGCTGCAGTCTCCTCTTTCTGTTCACTCCAACTCTGTGTGAAAACCCCACCTCTTCATGAATATACAAATATCTATGCAGTCTGAGGCTGTGTTAGAAAAACAGTGACATCTTGTGGCTAAACTGCAGAATGTCAGTCAAAACATTAATTTACTTCCACACAATCAGTGTTCAAACCATGAGAGCTGTTTCCCCATCTCACACCACAGAAGACCATCCTGCCTTCTAAGCAAATTTTGTTCGGGTTCAGGACATAGTCCAGAGGCTTGCTTGATCAAAGACTTTAGGCTGGGTTGGATCAGCAAAAACTTTTGGGCCGACAAAATGGTGTTGGGGGGAGAGGGCTCCTCTGGGTCCAGGAACATGTGGGAATGGGCATCTGCCTTCCCGTTCTTGGATCCTGGGCGGTAGGTTATGTGGAAGTTAAACCTGGAGAAGTATAAAGCCCATCTAGCCTGTCGAGGTCTTAGGCGCTTGACGGACCTTAGATACTCCAGATTTTTAGGATCTGTGAAAATCATAATTAAGTGGCTGGCTCCTTCCAAGATATATCTCCATTCTTCGAAGGCTATCTTAATCGCTAAAAGTTCCCTATCTCCCACATCGTAGTTCCTCTCGGCTTTGCTCAATTTTCTAGAACAAAAGGCTATTGGATGAAGCAGAGCCTTTGGGCCCTGGCGCTGGGAGAGTACGGCTCATGTAGTAACTTCAGATGCATCTACCTCCAGGATGAAGGGGAGTGTTGGCTCTGGATGCTGTAGCAGAGGTGAATTGATCTTTTAATTGCTCAAATGCTTTTTGAGCTTCCTGGCTCCAGCAAAATTGTGTATGCGTGAGTTGAGTAATAGGGGCAATGATTGCAATACAAACATAAACGCAGTGCTATACTAAAACATAATACAGTGCAAACAAACCAAAAACCACCCACAGATAACAGTACATACAAGCAAGCGTCGTCAGGCAGGCCGGGTCAATATCAATAGGGCAGGTAGGTACAGGGGGAGCAAGCGGAGATTGGTCAGGGTCACAAGCCAGGGATCAGAACAGGTAGCAAGCAGCGTGGTACAGAGGGTCAGACAGAGGGATGGTCAGGAGCGAGCCGGGATCAGAGCAGGAGAAGTCAGCAGTGGTTCAGAAACAGGATGCAGGACAGAAACAGGATGCAGGACAGAAACAGGATACAGGGCCCAGGACAAACACACACCAAGGCAGAGTCTGTGGGTCTGGCCATCCCTTAAATACCCCAGCATAATCAGTTCCAGGTGTTAGCTGGCTGCAAAGTTGAGTCTCTGATTGCTGGGAACACCCGCTGGCCAGCCCTGGTACTGCAGATCAAAAGGCAGGTGAGTCCCACCATAGCTGGCCAGTCCATTCCTGACAGTACCCCCCCCCCTCAAGGAGCGGCCTCAGGACGCTCCAAACAGTCCTAGCTGGGAAAAATGTTCCACCGCCCGGGTCTGGTAACTGGCGGGATATCAAAGACTGGCACACCGGGCAGGACTCCGGGCAGCGGTACACCGGGCAGAGGCACATCGGGCTGGACTCCGGGCAGAGGCACATCGGGCTGGACTCCGGGCAGAGGCACATCGGGCTGGACTCCGGGCAGAGGCACATCGGGCTGGACTCCGGGCAGAGGCACATCGGGCTGGACTCCGGGCAGAGGCACATCGGGCTGGACTCCGGGAGGCACATCGGGCTGGACTCCGGGCAGAGGCACATCGGGCTGGACTCCGGGCAGAGGCACACCGGGCAGAGGACTCCGGGCAGAGGCACACCGGGCTGGACTCCGGGCAGAGGCACATCGGGCAGGGCACATCGGGCGGGCTGGACTCCGGGCAGAGGCACATCGGGCTGGACTCCGGGCAGAGGCACATCGGGGGCAGGACTCCGGGCAGAGGCACATCGGGCAGGACTCCGGGCAGAGGCACATCGGGCAGGACCCCCGGGCAGAGGCACATCGGGCAGGACCCGGGCAGAGGGGCAGCGGGCACCCGGGGGCAGAGGCAGGCAGCGGGGGCCCCGGGCGGAGCGGCAGGCACCGGGCCCCCGGGCGGGGCGACAGGCACCGGGCCCCCGGGCGGGGCGACAGGCACCGGGCCCCCGGGCGGGGCGACAGGCACCGGGCCCCCGGGCGGGGGCGACAGGCACCGGGCCCCCAGGCGGAGCGGCGGGCGCCGGACCCCCAGGCGGGGAACTACAGGTCTCGGGCCCCAGGCGGAGCGGCGGGCGCCGGACCCCCAGGCGGGGCGACAGGCCTCGGGCCCCCAGGCGGAGGGCGGGCGCCGGACCCCCAGGCGGAACTACAGGTCTCGGGCCCTCAGGCGGAGCGGCGGGCGCCGGACCCCCAGATGGAGCGACAGGCCTCGGGCCCCCAGGCGGGGCGACAGGCATCGGACCCCCAGGCGGGGCGACAGGCCTCGGACCCCCAGGCGGGGCGACAGGCTCGGACCCCCAGGCGGGGCGACAGGCTCGGACCCCCAGGGGGGGGGCGACAGGCCTCGGACCCCCAGGCGGAACTACAGGTCTCGGGCCCTCAGGCGGAGCGGCGGGCGCCGGACCCCCAGATGGAGCGACAGGGCTCGGGCCCCCAGGCGGAGCGACAGGCATCGGACCCCCAGGCGGGGCGACAGGCATCGGACCCCCAGGCGGGGCGACAGGCATCGGACCCCCAGGCGGGGCGACAGGCGTCGGACCCCCAGGGGGGGCGACAGGCATCGGACCCCCAGGCGGGGGCGACAGGCATCGGGCCCCCAGGCGGGGCGACAGGCATCGGGCCCCCAGGCGGGCGACAGGCATCGGGGGGCCCCAGCGGGGCCCCAGGCGGAGCGGCCCCCAGCGGGCGGGCGCCAGACCCCCAGGCGGAGCTACAGGTCTCGGGCCCTCAGGCGGAGCGGCGGGCGGGCGCCGGACCCCCAGATGGAGCGACAGGTCTCGGGCCCTCAGGCGGAGCGACGGGGTCTCGGGCCCCCAGACGAAGCGCAGCGGCGGGCACCGGTCACCAGGCCCAGGCAGTGGGGCGACGAGTCGTCTGGCAGCGGGGGGCACGAGACTGCGGGGGCCCAGTCACTGGCGGAAGCAGCGGGCACCGAGTCCCCACGTCTGGCAAGCAGCGGGCACCGAGTCGTCTGGCAAGACTGCGGGCACCGAGTCGTCTGGCAAGACTGCGGGCACCGAGTCGTCTGGCAAGACTGCGGGCACCGAGTCGTCTGGCAAGACAGCGGGCACCGAGTCGTCTGGCAAGACTGCGGGCACCGAGTCGTCTGGCAAGACTGCGGGCACCGAGTCGTCTGGCTGGCACAGCGGGCATCGAGTCAACTGGCACTGCGGGCACCGAGTCGTCTGGCAAGACTGCGGGCACCGAGTCGTCTGGCAAGACTGCGGGCGTCTGGCAAGACTGCGGGGTCCCCCGTCGTCTGGCAAGACTGCGGGGCGGGACCGAGTCGTCTGGCAAGACTGCGGGCACCGAGTCGTCTGGCAAGACTGCGGGCACCGAGTCGTCTGGCAAGACTGCGGGCACCGAGTCGACTGGCAAGACTGCGGGCACCGAGTCGTCTGGCAAGACTGCGGGCACCGAGAGTCAACTGGCGGCACAGGCAGCGGGCACCGAGTCGTCTGGCAAGACTGCGGGCACCGAGTCAACTGGCAAGACTGCGGGCACTGGCAAGTCGCGGGCTGGCAAGACTGGCAAGCGGGCACCGAGTCGTCTGGCAAGACTGCGGGCACCGAGTCGTCTGGCAAGACTGCGGGCACCGAGTCAACTGGCGCAAACAGCGGGCCGAGTCGTCTGGCAAGGACTGCGGGCACCGAGTCGTCTGGCAAGACTGCGGGCACCGAGTCGTCTGGCAAGACTGCGGGCACCGAGTCGTCTGGCAAGACTGCGCGGGCCGAGTCAACTGGGGGAACAGCAGGCTTCGAGTCGTCTGGCAAGACTGCGGGCACCGAGTCAACTGGCGGAACAGCGGGCACCGAGTCGTCTGGCAAGACTGCGGGCACCGAGTCGTCTGGGGCAAGACTGCGGGCACCGAGTCGTCTGGCAAGACTGCGGGCACCGAGTCGTCTGGCAAGACTGCGGGCACCGAGTCGTCTGGCAAGACTGCGGGCACCGAGTCGTCTGGCAAGACTGCGGGCACCGAGTCGTCTGGCAAGACTGCGGGCACCGAGTCGTCTGGCAAGACTGCGGGCACCGAGTCGTCTGGCAAGACTGCGGGCACCGAGTCGTCTGGCAAGACTGCGGGCACCGAGTCGTCTGGCAAGACTGCGGGCACCGAGTCGTCTGGCAAGACTGCGGGCACCGAGTCGTCTGGCAAGACTGCGGGCACCGAGTCGTCTGGCTGGCAAGACTGCGGGCAGTCGAGTCAACTGGCGGCAGCGGGCACCGAGTCAACTGGCAAGACTGCGGGCACCGAGTCGTCTGGCAAGACTGCGGGCACCGAGTCGTCTGGCAAGGACTGCGGGCACCGAGTCGTCTGGCAACTGCGGCACCGAGTCGTCTGGCAAGACTGCGGGGCACCGAGTCGTCTGGCAAGACTGCGGGCACCGAGTCGTCTGGCAAGACTGCGGGCACCGAGTCGTCTGGCAAGACAGTGGGCTCCGAGTCAACAGGCACGACAGTGGGCACCGGGTCATCAGGTATCGGATTGTCTGGCTCGACAGCGGGCATCGGGTCACCAGGTATGACAGCGGGCACTGGGTCACCAGGCATCAGGTCATTTGGCTTGCCAGCGGGCACCGCGTCATCTGGCAAGGCAGTGGGCACCGGGTCACCAGGTATGACAGCGGGCTCTGAGTCAATTGGCACGACAGCGGGCACTGGATCAGGTACCGGATCATCTGGATCAACAGCGGGCATCGAGTCAACTGGCCTAATAGGATCGTCGGGCTGGATCAGTTCATCATGCTGAGTAGCGGCATCAGGCTGAATGCAGGCATCAGGCTGAGTAGAGGCTTCAGGCTGAGGAGAGGCTTCAGGCTGAGGAGAGGCTGAGGAGAGGCTTAGGCTGCTGAGGAGAGGCTTCAGGCTGAGGAGAGGCATCAGGCTGAGGAGAGGCATCAGGCTGAGGAGAGGCATCAGGCTGAGGAGAGGCATCAGGCTGAGGAGAGGCATCAGGCTGAGGAGAGGCATCCGGCTGAGAGAGGCATCGGCTGAGAGAGGCATCAGGCTGAAGAGAGGCATCCGGCTGAGAGAGGCATCCGGCTGAGTAGAGGCTTCAGGCTGAGTCACGGAAGGCAGGTTCACCGGTTTGGATACTGGCAGGATGGTATTGGTTGGAAAGAATTTTCGCTTTTTTCTGGTTTTAACTACTGGAGCACTGCAAGTAAACGCAGGTCTGCAAACGAATGGAGCAGCTGGAGACAGAGAAAAACTGAGGAGGATGGAACAGGAGAGGGAGCAGTTGCTACAGAGGGCTTTTTTACAGGGTTAAAGGCAGGATAGGTGCAGCGAGTGGGAACAGGGTACTGACATGCGGTAGATAGCCAAGTATACTGGGCTGTAACTGGAGGAGCTGGTGGGAATACAGGAGTAGAGTTAGAAGCAGGACTGGGTTTTTGTAAGCTGACTGAGGCTGGGTGCAACAAGTCTGTCCATGTCTGCAGTAGGGGTTGAACAAAGCTGAGCTTACACAAAGCCTGTCTGGTCAATGACTGCACTGCGTTTATACAATCTCTTAGTGTCTGTGGTGAACATGTGGAATAACGCTCCAGAAAGTAACCCACATCATCCTCTAATAACCACACCAGGGACTCAACCTGGTCTGCACTAAATGGTGGCAAAAATTCATCCCTGCATTCGGGGGAACCAGATGAAACCAACTCAACACAAACCTGAATCAATGGCTGCACCATAGAGAAATCTGTGCCCTGATCTACTAGAACATGAGCGAGCCGGATACATTCTAGCAGTTCATCCCGGGGATACTCCTTCAGAGTCTGATAAGCATACTCTCTGTCATCAAGCACTAGCAGAGATAAATACTCAACCTCATCCAGATCCATCCTTCCCATCAACAAGCCAAGATGGCTTCCCTGTGCAGCCACTTCTGGTCAGGATTGGCCTTGGTGTAATGTCAGGGCTCCCAGGTGTGACCAGAGATGTGTGACTGACGCAGGGAAACGCAGACCTCAGATATGTTATAAACAATATAATTTATTAACACTAACAATACAAACATAAACGCAGTGCAATACTAAAACATAATACAGTGCAAACAAACCAAACCAAAAACCACCCACAGATAACAGTACATACAAGCAAGCGTCGTCAGGCAGGCCGGGTCAATATCAATAGGGCAGGTAGGTACAGGGGGAGCAAGCGGAGATTGGTCAGGGTCACAAGCCAGGGATCAGAACAGGTAGCAAGCAGCGTGGTACAGAGGGTCAGACAGAGGGATGGTCAGGAGCGAGCCGGGATCAGAGCAGGAGAAGTCAGCAGTGGTTCAGAAACAGGATGCAGGACAGAAACAGGATACAGGGCCCAGGACAAACACACACCAAGGCAGAGTCTGTGGGTCTGGCCATCCCTTAAATACCCCAGCATAATCAGTTCCAGGTGTTAGCTGGCTGCAAAGTTGAGTCTCTGATTGCTGGGAACACCCGCTGGCCAGCCCTGGTACTGCAGATCAAAAGGCAGGTGAGTCCCACCATAGCTGGCCAGTCCACATTGCATAGCCCAAACGGCATTACTAGGTATTCAAAATGTCTGAAGCGTGTTCTGAAGGCAGTCTTCCACTCATCGCCCTCTCTTATACGGACTAAATTGTAGGCCCCACGTAAGTCCAATTTAGTGAAGACTCGGGTTGTTCGAAATCTTTGAAACAACTCGGGCACCAGAGGAAGAGGATACCGGTTTTTAATGGTAATTTTATTAAGTTCCCTGTAGTCAATGCAAGGTCTAAGAGACTGATCCTTTTTTTCTACAAAGAAAATACCAGCCCCAGCAGGAGAGGAAACACATTGAGGAAGTCATGGTAGGCAGAGGGAACTGATTGACTGGCCTCTGGTGAAGGTTGGACTGAGAGACATACAGAAGAATTGGTGGGTGTAGGGGCAACACATTGCTGTAGACAATATTCCGAAGAAAAGATGATTTCCTTCTTGGGCCAATTGATCTGTGGGTTGTGGGCTTGCAACCAGGGTATTCCTAGGATGGCTAGAAACATGGGAGATCTGATCATGTCAAAACAAATGAACTCCTGATGGTCGGAGTCGGTGGTTGCAAGAATAGGAATGGTTTCCTGGGTAACAGGTCCGGAACTAGGAACAGTGCCATCCGCAAGTAAGATGTCAAGTCTCTGTTTCTTAGGCAGAAGAGGGATGTGTAAGTCCTTGGCCAATTGGATGTCTAAGAAACAGCTACAAGCTCCCGAGTCAATGACTGCCCGCAACTTGACGTCCCTTCCAGCCACCTGCAAAGACATGGGGAGAATGACATGGATGGTTAAAGTACCGGAAAGCTGAAGGTATGAAGGATGGGGCTGGCTGGACTTACTTGGGCATACCGGGCAGTTACGCAGGAAGTGGCCCGGGGCCCCACAGTAAAGACAGAGGTTGCCTTGCTGTTTGCGTAGCCTTTCTTCTAGAGTTAGGGCAGGTCAGAGAAGGCCGATTTGCATAGGTTCTACCTCCGAATTGTTGATGGGTTGCAGAGCAAGGGCAGGAGCCCTGGAATTTTTGGCAGAACCCAAGTGGGCCGAAAGGTCTGAGTACACTCAGCATGTCTTTCCGGTAGACACCGATCCAACCAAGTAGCGAGCAGGATAAGGTTCTCCAAGGAGGAGGGAGCTTCCACCCTAGCTAACTCGTCCTTGAGGGACTCGGACAAGCCTAGGCGGAACTGGTACTTCAATGCTGCATCGCTCCAACCGGTGTCTGCAGACTATTTATAGAACTCCACTATGTAGTCCTCCACAGGTTGCCGACCTTGTAGTAGAGCATGGAGAGCAGACTCAGCAGTGGAGGTCCTCTGGGGATCGTCGTAGAGGGCAGCCATGGCTTCAAAGAGTTCACTCACTGAACTGAGCGCTGGGCTCTTTTGTTAAAGAAGACTATGTGCCCAAGACTGAGGTTCTTCAGACAAGAGGGAGATGATGAACCCGACCTTGACCGCTTCCAGAGAAAAGGTTCTGGGTTGCAGAGCAAAATATAATTCACAGGCATTCTTGAAAGCTCTGAACTTACGTCGATCCCTGAGAAAATGTTCAGGAGTAGGAACTCTGGGTTCCGGAGGTGGTAACACTATAGCAGGTGGCAGGAGACTGACTGGCAGGTGCAGCAACTGGGTTGGAACTGGCAGAGAGGGATCCTGGTCCACGGAAGTAGAGGGAGTGAAGATGCCCTTCTAGCGGGAAGTATCCTTGTTGTAGATCCTTCACTGCTTGGGGAAGTGCCGTCATCTGTTGGCACAGGGTCTCTAGTGCGGAAGCGCCTCTCTCGGGCTCGGACATACTGGCTGGATGATACTATCACGTACCTGGTGATGGAGGCCAATGGAGAGAGGGCTTCCCTTGCAGCTAAGTTCCGGACTCCCTTGAGAATATGACAGCAGGAGTCAGGCCCAAAGTTGCACAGGTCGCCTGTAGGAGTGCTGGTTGGTGGTCCACTCAGAAGCACAGCTGGTGCACTGAGATAGGTCTGCAGACAGGAGGCACCTGTGCCTGGTATGTAAGCTCTTCCGGGATTTAGATGTTTACTGGGTAGTTCAAGGTCAGGTACCAGGTGGGAATCAGAGCAGACGTAGTCAGAAGGGATTGCTGAGGTCATACACAGAGGAGCGAGAGAGCGAGAGTATCCGTAAGCCAAGCCGAGGTCAGATCAGGGGTAAAGCAGAGTAGACAGGTCCAGGAGCAAGCCGAGTCAGTAACAGGAAATCACAGGTCAGAATCACAGTAAACAGGAACCAGGAACAGGGCACAGGGAGCTAGAGATCATCCAGCAACTAGAGGAAGTGATGAGCCTCCTTTTAAAGGCCGTCTGGCACCAGACTGAGGTTGATGTGTACTTCTGCGGCCATGTAGAGTACTGGCAGAAATGGCAGATCTTCCAGAACTTCTGCCGTGGACAGGACCCTGACACTCGAGCTGCAATCTCATCCTTAATGTTATCAGAGAGGCCATGGGAAAAAGCAGCCACAAGAGCCTCATTGTCCCAATCTATCTCTGCTGCCAGAGTACGGAATTTAATAGTGTAGTCGGCAACAATTCTTATACTCTGTTTAATGGACTTGAGGCTCTTAGCAGCAGAGGTGGAACAAGATGGAATACAAATATCCTTTTAATTCTGGACAACAAGGTTTTGTGTCTCCCATAAAAAGTTTGTCCAAGACTTTGTCAGGAAGCAAAGAAATAATGAAGCGTACTTTATATCTGTCCGTAGGGAACGTCCGGGGCAGCATCTCAATATATATTCCAACCTGGTTGAGAAACCCTCTTCAGTGAGCTGGATCGCCCCCAAACCATTGGGGAAGAGGAGCAGAACCAGTCATACCTTTCACAGTGGTAGTATGACAGGCTGCCTGAACCGAGATAGGAGCATTAGCAGGGATGGTTCGCAACACTGGTTGTACCAGAGCTGCCGGAGTAGGAGGATCCAGATGAGCAGTTCAGATCAGGAGTATTTGTAATGCTATGTCAAACTGATCCAAGCGGTGGTCCTGCTGGTCCAATC